GTGGGGGTCGAAGACGAGAAAGGCAACATGTGGCTTAAGGAAGGGAGTAGCAGCGATGAGAAAGGAGAGTACTCATCTTCAACTCTGTTTAATTTTATTTTTGTGATGTTTTTATGTGATGTGTACATGTGATGCGTATATGCTATCATTCTGATGCTGATAAATGTGTGATGTGTATATGAAATGTATTTTGATACACCAAATGGTTAGTGATGAGATCCACTGAATCCCATTTGTTATCCATTTCCTCCAAGTTACCTTTCACGTCTAATTTGTGTAATTGATTGTGTGTGATGTGTATATGATGTATTCTGATACACCAAATGGTTGCTGATGATGTTGTTGAACCCCATTTGTTATCCATGTCCCCTAGGTTGCCTTTAACACAAAATTTGTATAATTGATTGTGTGTGATGTGTATATGATGTATTCTGATACACCAAATGATTGGTGATGATGTTCCTGAACCCCATTTGTTATCCATGTCCCCCGGTTGCCTTTAACACTTCAATTGTGTGTGTTGTGTGTATGAAGTATTCTTATAACTAATGATGATATGGGCTTATTTGACTAGCATTGTGTTTGAACAGTGTGTGTTAGTTGCCAAAATGCATTTGACTTGCAAAAAAATCATTTGACAAGGTTTTCCTTACAAATGAGCTTACAAAAACTAATGTGTATTGGGTCAGTACTCTAATGTATTGTCTGCCACCTAAAAGTGCATACAAAAAAGTGCACAAGTAAATACCAACAAAAATAAGTGCACTATAAACACAAAAGTTGTGTTTCATACAGCCTGAAAGTTCATCTGTGAAGATGTTATACGTCTTCACGTATGAACACACAGTCTAGAGTTGAAGGATGTGATGTGGTAGTTGCCAAATGTGCAGCCAAACCTGCCCTTGTTGTCTGATAAAGTTCTGGACAAATTTGCACATTATTGGGTAACACCCCCAACCTTTGCAATCTGTCTTTCTCACATGTCTGAGCACTTCTTCTATTACATATTGATAGCTTAGGAACACCTTGCTTAATGTAGTTGCCAAATGTGCAGCCAAACCTGCCCTTGTTGTCTGATACAGTTCTGGACAAATTTGCACATTATTGGGTAACACCCCCAACCTTTGCAATCTGTCTTTCTCACATGTCTGAGCACTTCTTCTATTACATATTGATAGCTTAGGAACACCTTGCTTAATGTAGCAGGTGTAAGCTCTTCAAAGGATGTGATTACTTCGTTTATTAACTCATTTATACTTTTTTGGTGCCTTCTGATCTTCAATGGAATATTGCCCTAAAAACCTAAATCTAGGACATTTAGGTCTAGACTATTAGGTGTTTGACATATGAGTTGGATATTCCACTCATCTTATATGGCATACTTTACAAAATCTGGATCATTAACATCAATGTGAGACCTGATGTTATCTTGTTGAATGATTACAGTTCTGTTTTGTGCATCCGGCCACTTCTGTTTTATTGTTGGCAGTAGTTGATTAAGTATGATTTCCTTCACAACTGCTCTTGTAATACTTACAATTGCCTTAGTCTATAATATAATGTATCTGTTGGTCTGTTTTTACTTGATCTCTTGGTTGTGTCTCGATAAGTGAATGGAAATATTCCAACCTTTCCATTCCATGAAGCCGCCCCATTGTCCCACAACTGCTAAGAACATAATCCTTGATATGAATTTCTTAGACTGGGCGGTCTTGTAGGGGTCTTCTTCTGTGAAGAGAGTGTAGAATGTTGTTTCTTTTGACAAATAAAATCACTTCTCATCTATGTGTATGTGATCATAAAAGTGATGAAATGTTGGGGTCAAGGGCAATGAGGCCTAATTGTATTGGAGTGCCTTTTTATTTGTTTCCCTTAAACCACCTTTAGAGGTCAAAGCTCTCATGTTTTTAAGTGGTGATAAGGGATTTCTGATATTTTTTTGCAAGTCAAATGCATTTGGTTTTCTACCCAATTGTCCCTTCCAGTTGCTCTGGACATTTATTGGTAGGCCAGCCTCCATTTTTGTTTTGCTATGTGCCATAAATTCTGGACAATTTTTCTTGACACGCTGAAGTCCATGGTTGTCTTTGTCAATAAGTCCCTCTGAAGTTGCCCTTCATTCGCATTACTTAACGGTATTTGAATGATTCTTTTCTCTTCTCACATGTAAGTCTAGGCCATTTTTTATGGCCAAAACGTGCCCCAATTGATTCACCCTCCTCGGTTTGTATTTGTGCAGGTAAAAGTGAGAGATGTGTACCTTGAATTGGAGGTGACAGATTGAGATCCAAACTCTAGCTTTGATTACAATTTTTTGCACTAAAGTTGTCCATTTATAGTTGTACAGGTGGAGGTAGCTCAAAGAAGTAAAGACTGAAAAAGGATGATTAACTTATGTGTGTTTATAGAAAGGGGTATCATTTGTAAAATGGAGAGAATCTGAATTGTTTTGGGAGTGAACTTCAAAAAAATTGGTGATTTGTAAAGTTTTCATTAGTTTGGGAGTTGTGTTATACGAGTAGCGTAGTGAATTAAAAACTGTGGACGTGACATGTAATATTTTGGTTTTGAGGAATAGATGTGTGATACCCATGTTACTATTCATTTGTCTCATTCTCCTTTATTTTCGGCTAGCCTCCAATTTAATAAAGCGAAGGTAAATTTGGAAAGTCAACATTATTTTCAATAGTAATTGCTCTATATAGGACTAAAAATAACCTAAAATGCACAAATAGGACCACTACATTTTTAACCATCCCAAATAGAAATAAACAATTGATTCCTATCAGAAAAGACCCCAAGGGTAATATTTCATAATGAAATGTTATAATTCATAATAAAATCTTAAATAATAATAATAATAATAATCGTAAAAAATCGTACAAGAATAAAATAAAAATAAAAAAAATTATTTTTTTTTAAAATAAAAAAATACGGAGTAGTAACAACCCATAAAAATGGATACCTTTCCCACCGCCTCCGAGCACCACCACCTTCGATTGGTAAAAATTCTGCCATTTTTTACAAGTATAAAAAGTTCCATTTTTCTCGAAAATGCCAAGAAAATGGCATTATCACTCTTCATAATGCCAAAATTCTCATTGAATCTGCTATTATTATGGCATTATTAAAATGTTGGCAGTTTTTTAAAACAAATTAATAACAAATAGTAAAAACCAATAAAAATAAAAATAAATATGGATACCTCCGATTGGTGAAAATTCTGCCATTTTTGTAAAAAATTGCCATTATTTTCTGAAAATGGCAAGAAAATGGCATTATTACTAATCATAATGCCAAAATTCTCATTGAATCTGCCATTATTATGACATTACAAAAAATGTTGGCAGACTACCAACTGGTGATGGGAGGTGGTGGTGCTGTGGGTAGCAGGGGCGGCGTTTGTTTTTACATTTTATTTTATTTTTAATTTTTTAAATTTCTTTTTTACTTTTTTTTTAATTTTTTATAAATATTTTATAATTGTTTTTTAATATTTTTGACGTTTTTATTATTTTTTATGTTTATCATTATCTTTTATGATTTTATTAACAATTAAGACATTTCAAAAGCTACAATGGTATGATCGTCTCTCGCTTCTCTCTAGGGCTTCGGCCGCTTGTAGTTTTTTTCCGTCTTCGATTTTAATCGAAGAACGGCCACTTTTTCCGTCTTCGATTTTAATCGAAGGACGGCCGCTATTTCCGTCTTCGATTTTAATCGAAGGACGACTGTTGTTGTTTGTGCTTCATACTCGAAGGGCGGATTTGTTGTCATGGCTCGAGGAGATCGGCGTTGTGGTCAAGGTTCGAGGATAATGTATTGCTGTCATCGTTGGAGAAGATCGGCGCCGCCTATCCGTTTACTCTGGTTGCATGAAGCATGGATGAATTTGGTTATGCAGGGACGGAGGATTGATGCATGGCCTTTGGCAGACAAAGGTCACGGAGTATCACTTAGCATGGTACCACTGGTAAGACCTCCTCCTGAACCACCACCATGGGATGTACGAGGTGCTAGAGTTCGTGAACGCTTTTCTTGTAGTTTTTATCTGTTTGTTATTTGTTTTCTTGTGTCCACTTTTGTTGTTGGTTTTGACAATTTGTTTGAGTTTTTTTGCCTCTCTTTATGTCATTGGGTATGGTTGGATCTATGGGAATATGTTTGGCTGTGTCAAGCCCACTACATGGTTAGCGATTCGTGTTGCTCTCTCAGGGGTGACCGTCTCAAAGTCTCACCATAGGATTACAGTCGTAGTTGTTGAAGTTTCAGTTGGTGTCAGTTTTATTTTCCTTTTGCTTGATGTAATGATCCTGAATCTTTTGATATGAATAGAGGCTCGTTTGATGATAAAAAAAAGCTACAATGGTATATTTGTCGAAACACACATAAATAGTCCTACTAGGGGGAATTAAAACCATGTAGTCCTATTTGTGCTATTGCGTCACTTTTTTGACCTATTTAGGTAATTAACTCTATTTTAAATTTTGCCTAAAACTTATAAATTCAAAGTGGGAAATTGTTTTAGAGATAGATGGAGTAATTTGTCCTAGACCAAACTAGACCAGACCAAACTTAAACAGATCAGATTAGATCAGTCCAGACTTAAACAGACCAGACCAGACAAGACCTTGACTTTCGTAGTTATAAAATACCTAGACACCAGACTTTACCAAATCAGACCAAACCAGTTCAGATCAGACCAGACTTAAACAGTCAGAGACTAGGCTTGAACAGACCGAATCGGACCAGACCAGATCATCAGATAACAGTCCAAGTAAAAACGTCCTTATTTTGTTTTGCTAATTTACTAGTTAAGAGGTCATTTGGTAACACTGTTTTTCGGTTTATCAAGCTTATCAGACAGCCTTTTCACCAAGTACATAACGTTTGTTTTCACGCGCTGAATTGTATAATAATTATTTCTTAAATATAAGGAGCATTTTATGTACTAATTTCCGTATTACCAAAGGGAAAATAAGCTGGGTAGCTGGGTAGTGTTCACGTTTTGTTTTCAAGTCTCACCAAACCAGCCTTTACAGAATTGCCTCGTCTACTACGAGCGAACGCGAAGGCATTAGGCACAGTTTGTCTCTTTTGCTCTTTCTCTCCATAAGAAAAAGGGGAGGAGAGATTTACAAGGGAGCTAGAGACAAAGAAAATAAAAAGCTCGCTTGGTAATCTTCATCCATCTTTGTGATTTCTACTCATATACTCCGTCCGTATGATATATATTTACATTCGGTTTTGGTTGTTATGTTCTTTTTTTTTTTTTTGGTTTTTTCAGGCTCTTATGCTTTACGCCGAAAAAGATTTGATTTCTAGCGGAGTACTCTATATTGTACTCAGTTAATAGTCCGAGTTACGGAAACGATCAGGGCTTTTTGCACTTGAAGAACAATGTTATATAGAAGTGGTCATAGATAGGAAGGTTTTAGTTTATATATGGCTTGGAGATGGTTGCAAGGTGCTGGAACTGGAAACAATGAGGTCCTTCCATTTCCAAATTCTGGAATTGGATTTCTGTGGTGTCCCCAAGATGATGGTTATCACCCAGGTGGCTTATTTGCAAGTGTAGGGCAGATGGGAATGAGTTGTGGGATCTCCCATAATCCATCAAAGCCTACTACCAACAATGGCTTAAATCTTTCCTCCACCAATTTGTTTGAACATCACAAGGCGCAGAATATTGGGTTCAAAGATAGTGGATTGGCCGAGTTAGTTTCAGGTGAAGTGTTGGAGGTGGAAGAGGAAGGGATGCTAGGGAAAAAGAAGAAGGCTGGTTATAAGTTGAAAATTAAGGTTGGGAATCAATCTTTGAGGAGGTTGATCAGCGGGGCAATTGCAGGTGCATTTTCAAGGACTTCAGTCGCTCCAATTGAGACTATTAGGACACACATGATGGTGGGTAGCTATGGTCACTCAACAACCCAAGTGTTTCACAACATCATGCAAAATGAAGGGTGGAAAGGCCTTTTTAGAGGAAATCTGGTCAATGTGATACGTGTTGCACCGAGTAAGGCAATCTAGGTAAGCTCTCCCTTCCTTCACAGACTAACACGTTTTTGGTCATAATTGTTCTTTTACCAGATATTGTTTTATTTTGTTTGACGTTTAATTTGGTTGGCTTATAGGTTTGGTTCGTTTTATACTTTTATTTTGTCTGATGCTTGCAGTTGTTTGCATATGACACAATAAAAAGGAGTTGACGCCTAAAGCAGGTGAAGAGCCAAAGTTACCACTTCCTGCTTCTCTGATTTCAGGCACTATTGCGGGGATTAGCTCAACCCTATGTACTTACCCGCTCGAGCTTCTAAAAACTCCACTGACTATTCAGGTAACGTAACTCCATAGAGCTGCTTTCCTTCTATGTTTACCGGGTAATTGAATAATAAATTACTACTTCTATTGTTGTGATTTTGAACGTACCACTCAATAATTTCTGGAGACTATTAGAATCCATAGAAGAAAGGATCTAATCCCTGTAGGAGTAGGAAACCTAAACCTTAGAACTAATTGGAAACTCTAATACTGCTAAAAGTCTAAAACAATGAAAACCATATAGCCATTTATGTACTTTAACAACTCCATTTGGCTACATTGAATTATTGAGGGGAAGTTGATTCAAGCATCCCAAACTATGAGGAATTCAGCACTCCAAACTTTAATATGTGAACTAAGTATCCTAACCTATGTAAGTTTGGGGCGTGAAGTGCACAATTTAAGTACTCCTAACATTCTGGGCTAAGCACTTGACATCCTAAATTTGTTCTAGAGAAATATATCATCTACATCAATGGCGTTGAGATAACCTGTAATATAAAATTGAGGGCATTCTTTTCACACATTGAAATTTGAGGTGCTGACTGCTGAGCACACATGTCTGGAGCATCTGAATTGTATTATACTATTATTGACCTGGAAGAGTTTTGACAGAGGGGCGTGTACAAGAATGTGTTGGATGCATTTGTGAAGATAGTGAGAGAGGAAGGAGCTGGGGAGCTATACAGAGGTCTCACTCCAAGTCTGATTGGAGTAATCCCATACGCGGCCACTAATTATTTTGCATATGACACACTACGGAAGGCTTACAAACGGATCCTCGAGCAAGAAGAAATTGGGAACATAGCAACCCTCTTAATGGGGTCGGCGGCTGGCGCCATCTCTTGCACCATGACGTTCCCTCTAGAGGTGGCGCGGAAGCACATGCAAGCCGGGGCTCTTAATGGAAGACAATATCAAAACATGCTTCATGCCCTTGTCAGCATTCTGGAACACGAAGGTGTTCCTGGCCTGTACAGGGGCTTGGGACCAAGCTGCCTGAAATTGGTCCCTGCTGCTGGAATTTCTTTCATGTGTTACGAGGCGTGTAAGAGTATATTGGTTGAGCGTGAGTGAGGATGATAGCCCTTATGTGAGGCCGATTTTATTTATCCATTTTAAATTGTTTCCTACACACACATCTGCTTTAGACTTTTTAAAGTTATGTTGTGTACTTGTGTTTTATTTAAAAAAAAAGTTACGCTGTGTTTATTTAAGACTCGTTCGAGTGTCTCTCTCTCCCTTGCCATCAATGTGAAGATTCAGATCCGTTATTTCAGTTTGGGTGGAAGAATAGAAATAAAATTTTCACTGCAAGGACTCTAGCCCCACTCACGCACATATAAACAGCCCAACTATAAGAATTGTATACTGTTTTGAATGAAATTAAAAAATGATATACAAAAGGGGCTGTGCATATTTGGGGAGTTAACCTTCTCGATTTAATTTCTTCTTAATTGGTTCTTGGATAATTTATTAAAATCATCCTAATGAGTAAATGTATTAAAATCATTAAGGAATAAAATCAATCAATCACTCTTCCTCCTCATTCTTATAGGGAAAAATGGCTAAATAGCCTTAATAAATAGGCTATATAAAGTTAATAGCCTCTATTTTGTTTTATAAAGCATATAACACTTTCCTATATGATATAAAGCCGGTAGAAATACGAAATACCATTTGAGACCTTAAACCTAAATTAAAATTTCCAGTTTATGATTGGATTTATATAAACCGTCCATAGCCTGATAGCTCACGTCTCTCTGCCCCAATTGCGAAGTACTCTGTAATATGGAGCAGTTCAAATGAAAAATTAGTCTGAGTCGTTCGTTTTCTTCGAACATCAGCTAGTAAGATAGACGTACACTTAGGGGGATGGTTAATTGGTGTGCTACATATCAGTTCATCCATTGAATGCGTGTTTCGAGAAGGGAAAGAAACTACCGGTAGTGGTGAAAAATGATGAAAAGTATATGATGAGTAGTGCTGTCAACTGTGATAAGATGCTTTAGCAAGCTTTTTAAATTGATTTTGGTTCATATGGTTAGTGCTCAAATAATGCTAAGGACTTCTCCGTATATAATATTAAAGTTATTTGAGCTATTCCTATTTGAGTTGGTTGTTTGGGAATATATGCAAATGTTAAAGGGGGCATTGACTGCTTATTGCAGTCCTTAACATGAACTATATTGATGATGTTATTTTAACTGGGGAACTAATAGCCTTATTTTATGCTATACGTGTGAAGGTCAGGAAACCATAAAAATGAAGAGAACATTTTGTGGTTAGACTCTATAGTGTGGCAAATTGATGACCGTATAACACAGTGTAATATTTATGAGGAAAATAAATATCCTTGGCTTGATAAGGGTAGACCTGCTATAATGCCTCCAACTTGTTCTCTGGGCAACAACACCCTTACATCTAGGTCTACTCCTTATGCATTTCCCCTTCTTTTAGGTCATCAAGAACATAACAAATTAACAAAGAGAAAAATAGAAGATAAACCCGTTCACTCTATTTAGCTCTTTTGATACAATACATAGAACCTCTAATTTAGTGAGAACATGTGAAAAGTGGTAGAGTCTGGTATACCATAGCAAATGAAACTCAATGGTGAAGTCTCAAATGATAGGGTGGTGCTCTATAACTTCAACTCTTTAATGTTAAATGCACAATGCCAGTTTATATTTTTAATAATCATAATACTTTTGTGTCACTCCAGTGAAAAATAACCATTTGTGTACATAAGCTTTTTAGTCAGAGGTAAGAGTCATTTTCAGAAATTCATTCAGAGGGTGAAAGCCCAACCATTGTGCATGTGAGAAGCTATCCTTTCTGCTTTACTATAGTTTACCCATAACCAACAACAACAAGAGTTATATAAGAGTCCAAACAAACCCCAGGTACATCACAAGTAGATATAAATGGAGCAACATATCAGCAAAGAAAGCATTCTTATTCACAAAAACAAATCAACAAGAGGTCAAAAGATTGAACATTCTGGAGTGGCTTATCAATTGGAACCATTGTCTACATAGCATGTTAGAGTATACTTCATTTGTTATTCTCGGGCTAAGTGTTTTTATTTAACTTTAAAATATCTACACTCTATATGTGGTTACTACTATAGGTGAAAGCGCATTCAGAGTGGCTCCTGAAATGAAAATGAGAGCCAACTGCATTAATGAATAAAAATAGGAAAGCTCTTTTCAAGGAGCAGTAATTGGTGAAAGTAAAAGCCTTTGTGAAAAAACTAATTAGTTCCTAGAGCCAAGAAACCACCAACGACAATGAGGTCTCCATTATAATAATTTTTGGATCCAATAAGGATATAAAGTGAAGAAGAATAAGGAGTATATGAGATGAAGCTTATCTTTGGGCAACAATAAGGAATATGATTTCAAAATTCCTCTGTTTTGGGTGACTTGTATAACCTTCAGGAAATTAAAAGTACTCATCAAGCTAGTTAGTTGTGAACATCCATATATATTCAGTTTACCATATGTGTCATACATATTCAATAAAAGAATATGTTGTTACATTAGAAATTAGATGAAATGATTGACAAGAAAGTAAAAAAAAAATATTTGCAAATGTGAAAAGGTTGCAACTGCAATGTAACCAACACATAAAGGTTATTGGTTAATTAGTTTGGATATACTAACTTTACAGGTAATAACATAACTAATGGAGATCAAACAACCTTGTGAATGTAAAGTAGCAACTGGATATCAAATAACTACATGAATCGATGATAAAATCTATAACTAAGTTGAATGGAACTTCATAAATAATGGTCGGAAACATTTGTCTAGAAAGAATTAAAAATAAAAGATAGGATCATGTTCATCGTTTTCGATGAGAGCCATGGACTGAGAGAGTAGGAGTTTTGCATCGCCTACGATTGTGACCGAACTGTGCACACCGACTGCACTTTTTTGGTTTTTTAAACTCACCAATGGATGGTATCCTCTGTTTCTTAGGTCTACCAACGCTGCGCTTCACATGAGGAGGAAGTATATTGTTTGGCGTCTGTGTCGTATGGATTACCCATTTGTCTGCATTACCTAATGAATGTTTCGTAGCTGCATATGTTGAAGCATAAGAATCCCTAAAATAGTACGGAGAGACAAATGAGTATACACTAAGAGAGCATTTGGCAATAACGGCGCAAGCATGTGCACACGAGATTTCTTCATGATCCCACCTCCTACAACTACACTGGCCCGTTTGCATGTAAACAATATAAGAGCGGGCTTCATGCATTACAGTGAACTCATTAATATCGTTTGGATGCACCTGCAAAAGTTGTTCATAAGAATGTGTGCTTTAGGATATATTAGTTATCTAGAAATGCAGAAAGGAGATTTGATGATAAAAAAAGTAAGAACCTATAAAATCTATATGTTATAAGCAGACATTAGGAATCACACATTTTCATTGGGTACATAAGCTAAGAAAAAATAGTAAAGTGACACATTCTGACCTCCATGTGCCTGCCACGTAATATTTGTTCACACAGTAATGCCTCTGCCCAAGGGGTTAAGCGACTAGTAATTGAAGAAGCATCTATACGGTGAACCACAAACCAACTTTGGAGTTTTTCCTGGATTTTTTGAATCAAAGGGACAAGAGGTAAATCCCTTGCTTCTTCAAGGGCATTGTTCATACTCTCTGATATGTTGGTTGTATCAATGCCATATCTGCGTCTTTGGTAGTAACAACGCGCCCATTTTTCATAACCAACCTCAAGAAGATATTGACGAATTCCCGGTCCCAATTGTTCAAGATTGCGCATTTCTTGCTCAAAATGTGAAAGCTTATAAACCCTCGCACATTTGTTAAATATATTCGGAATTGCTGGGTGCTTGAACTTTGTCTTCAAGTTACCAAGCAAATGCTGGACACAAAAACCATGTTCTGCAAATGGGAACACTTTAGAGACAGCCTTAGGGATGCTAGTTTTACGATCAGAAATGTTGGGCCGCGAGTATGCGGTGCCAGCAACAGCCAGCCTGCCGGTGTAATCGAACCGCGTGGCGCTTCGCATGTGCTATAAAGGGCGAGGAGCGTGCTACACTATCAGCGATTGCTTTTAGTGTAACGGTAAGCGCAACGATCCACAAGTGGTATCAGAGCCAAGGTCACGGGTTCGACCCCCGGCAACAGCATGCTGCACAGTTGTAGGTTGGCAGGTGCTGGGGGGAGATTGTTGGGCCGCGGGTATGCGGTGCCAGCAACAGCCAGCCTGCCGGTGCAATCGAACCGCGTGGCGCTTCGCATGTGCTATAAAGGGCGAGGAGCGTGCTACACTTCAGCGATTGCTTTTAGTGTAGCGGTAAGCGCAACGATCCACAAGAAACAAACACCAAATGGTCACGGGGTGGAATTGTAGCCTTCAACTGAAAGAAGAACCACTCCCACGAGGCATCTGTCTCAGAGTCAACAATTGCAAACGCGATCGGGAATATATGGTTATTAGCATCCATAGCAGATGTTATCAATAGAATACCTCCATATTTATTTTTTAGGAAGGTTCCATCTACTGATATAACAGGTCTACAATGAGACCAACCAGATATTGAAGCAGCAAATGAAAAAAACAGTATTTAAACGAAGCATCTTCTGTCTGGATAGCGGTAACAGAACCTATTTAAAGAGGACATTGATCAGTTCATGAAATTTCTTCCTATTATTATAAATTATATATATATACACTTATAAGTGCAATGAAATTTAACAAATAAATGTGTTTGGCATTACCTGGATTTGTTGATTCTATAACATGCAATGCGGCTAGTATGCGTGCGTAAGATTCCTCAGCTGATCTGTGTTTCTCTTCTAAAAGAATATGCTTAGCTTGTAATGCTTTGTAGTAACTAATTCCGACACCGTAATCTTTTGCGCATTAGTTTCATAATAGCCTTTGGGGTAGTACACTCCCCAGAAAAGAACTATTCTCTAACACAGTCACTAATGATAAGGCTTGTAGCATGTTTATGATCTCCTCGCACGACATCCAAATCACAAGTATGCTCCTTTACATATTCTCTAAGTATCCATGCATCACTACCACAATAACGCGATGCACGAACATACCATGTGCAACTTTCATTCCGACATGTAACCACGAGTGATTCAGCGTTAGACCTTAGTGTGTTGAACTCAAACTGCTTTTTCAAGGACAACATGAGCAAAACTTTTTTTACTTCCACCTTGTTAAAAAACATCACCTACCACAAAGTTGAGACGTTCAGGATGTGTCAAATCATT